ATCATATATGTAAGCCTATTTGTCTTTAATCATAAAATGTTTCCTGTTATTAAAATCAGCACTATACTACACACGATTGAGTAAATTCTAACTGATGATAATTAGATCTTTTGAATTTAAGATGTATTTCATGACAAAGTACTCTATTGATTTATTATAATCTCTAGACGCTAAAAAGCAAAAGAATTTAACATTATGCTTTTGTTTCTAATTTCAACCAAATCATAGTCATCTATTGCTTCTCCACTACCATTGGTCCCGAAGCAAAATCATATAATTTGGACCTTTTAATTATGGTAACATAGCAAAACAATTTTGTGTCTTTACTTTTTAAATAGGGTATTTTGATTTTTACCACCTTCAAATAACCAAATAATTGAATTTACCACCTTCAAAAAAAAAAGATTTACTTTACCACCACCAAAATTTCCAAAAAATCGATTTTACCACCAACTACCAGATTTCGTCCATGAATCCGTTAGTAGGGCCCACATTTTTGACGTTTCTTCTTCATCTTCCCCGATCTTCCATGTCAACCAACCAGCAACGAAATCAACTACCTCGGTTGGTCGGAATTTCGTGTGGGTTTCGCGTCTGGGTGGTGGTGGTTTCGAGTCGCGATGGTTTCGCGTCTGGCTGGCGTGGTTTCTGGTGGGTGGTGGTGGTTTTGAGTCGGGGTGGTTTCGCGTCTGGGTGGCGGTTGTTTCTGGTCTGGGTTTGGATGGTGGTGGGGTTGGTCGTAGCTGTTAGGTGGTGGCTAGGGTTTTGAGGTCGGAAATTGGTGGAAAGGGGTAGAAATCGGTGCGGCTTTGGTGTGCGGTGCGGTGGTAGCGATTAGGTGGTGGGTTGGTCGTAGCTATTAGGTGTTGACTAGGGTTTTGAGGTCGGAAATTGGTGGAAAGGGGGTCGAAATCGGCGCGGCTGTGGTGTGCGGTGCGGTGGTAGCGGTTAGGTGGTGGGTTGGTCGTAGCTATTAGGTGTTGACTAGGGTTTTGAGGTCGGAAATTGGTGGAAAGGGGGTCGAAATCGGCGCGGCTGTGGTGTGCGGTGCGGTGGTAGCGGTTAGGTGGTGGGGTTGGTCGTAGCTGTTAGGTGGTGGCTAGGGTTTTGAGGTCGAAATCGGTGTGGTGGTTGTGGGTCCCGACGGTGGCTGGTAGCGGTTAGGTGGTGGGGGCTGGTTGTAACGGTTAGGTGGTGGGGCTGGTTGTAGCCGGTCCGGCGGTAGGGGTCCCGACGGTGGCAGCAACCATCGGTTGCTTGATGGGGATTTTTTATTTTTTATTTTGTTTTTTTTATTTATTTTTTTAAAACTTAACCAATAATATGGCGACACGTGTGCAAGGTAGGCCCCACTAACGGATTTTTGGACGGAATCCGTTAGTTGGAGGTGATTGGTGGTAAAACTGATGTTTAATTTTTTTATGAGGTGGTAAAGTAAATCTTTTTTTTTTGGAGGTGGTAAATTCAATTATTTGGTTATTTGAAGGTGGTAAAAATCAAAATACCCTTTTAAATATTTAGTTGCAATGTGCATTATTAGATGCCATTTATTTTATTTTTTTGACATTTGCATCCAAGTTGGACTATCTTTGGAGATAATTTGACCAGGATGAATGTCCTTGCAAATAAGGATGTACAGAGGAACATGTGAGTAATTTTAAATACAGAGTGTTTTGTGTGCGGTTGGGGAAGTGGCTGCTTATAAAAGAAAAGGTAAACCCTATAATACTGATCGAGTAACCCTAAGTAATCATTATACAATGACGAAGTAACCACTGTAACACTAACCGAGTAACCTGGCCCCTATAACACTAAAAAAGTAACCCCCATGATGGCCACACCGTGTGAACAACCACATATAAAAACTTGTGTTTATTGTATACCTTCTTCAATTTCATGCATTTGTTCAGGACATAGCCAATTAATTACTTCGCAGTCATTATTAGTGACATATACTTCAATCGAAAATCATAATCACAATAATTTTTTAAAATGAGAATCTTGAGGTATTCCTGATTTTTTTCTGGTGCAAAATCAAAAGTGTTTAGTGACGCAATTATTGATAGTATTAGTACTTGTATGAGTTATTTCACATCAAACTGAAGTTCAAAAGATTTAAGGAGTAGTTCACTCAATCAACGTTTTGTCAGTGTTTTAGCGATTTAAACTAATCATGTCATATTGGCCCATTAAAAACTTTACAAGGTAGGCTCAAATGTCATCTACTCATTAGTGGCCCACATCTGGCTTTTAACAACTGCCGGCCCAAAGGTTGCTACAAACTCATAAAGTAAATAATACACCCTTTTTAAGTATCAAATACAAGTAAATTTATTAAAGAGAGAATGGTTATGGTATAATCCTTAAATGCTACTCAAATAATTGTTTTGTATTTATTTTCTTTTAAAAGAATTGGTGATACTTTCTGCTATGGGGCAAAAACTTGGCGATTGTATATACTCCATCCTTATATCTCTTTTTATACTATAGCCACATTTTGAATTACTACATAATAATGATCTGACGGACACATCTTACAGGTTCTCTTCTTCAACTTGCAAGTTTTATATAAAAATGTTAATACTTGTTACTAAAGACAATAGATGGGTCCGTCATCCAAGCTACAAAAATCTCACAACTTGCTAGTTTGTGCTTCTATAATTAGGATTCATGCCATGATGATTAATAACCAAGATTAAAATGTTCAAAAATTCCATTTGAGCATTCAATTTTGGGTGCTAACTACCAATGAGGTATTAGTCTGGTGACTAATACAGTAATACCGAGGGCGTGTGTACATTAAGCATGCTGACTAGATTGATAAACAAGTTTCTCTACCTATAAACTCAACATACTGCTTTGACAAACAATGTAATAAAGGTATTTTAGAGGTTGAACTAATATCACAAAGATTATTTTTTGACAAAAGGATCAACGACTGAATACAACACCAGCACATATGCACTGAAGCAATGAAGTGAATGTAGCTAACAATTTGATCTCTAATTGTATTTTGATCTGATAAACAAAAAAGTGTGAAAGCCAATTTAGGGAGCGAAAACATTAGTTCCTCCTTCCATTCTGTTGGACCTTGCATATGCGCGCAAAGTTGATCATACAGCCTTTTAATTCATAAGTGTGGATTCCGGACCTACTAATGAGGATGTTCCTGAAACTCATTCAAAATGTAATGGTGGAATATGGAAATGTGAATGTGGAGTGAACATGCTCCCCTTCATAAGTCACAATCAACATGCTTGAATCTTGCAAACATCTTTCTACCTGTTTCCTAGCAGGGCATCCCTTGCAAGTGCTGCATTTGTAGTAACTCCTACAGAACACACAAAGATCAAACGTCATATTACCCCAAGTCGTATGCTTCCTCTGTCCGAAAATAATGAACACATCACGTAATTACTAACATAACAATGTACTTGTATATTCCTAAAGACCTATACAGTATACAGAGGCATCTTTCAGAGACAAATCATATAACACTACTAGTTTTAAAAATGAGACAATATTCATCCTAAAATAAACGTGTCACCGTAGACTAGTATGTAAGACTTTTTACCTTGGATGAGGAGAGCCTTTGATGGGTTTCTGCCCATACTTTCTCCAGCAGTACTCATCTGGTGGTATATCAGCTATTTTGTCACTGATGGCTGGAACTCTTACTTTTCGCTTTTCCCTTCGCTTCCTGGAGAATCAGAATTTCAGAGAGGTTGTTTCTGATAAATCCTTCATACCATTATCCACAATAATTTTTAACACATATGCAGGCAAAATAATTGGGGAAAATCAAAATGTACCTTTTTTTGGAGCAATGGCAAGTCTTGCTAGTGGAAGCACATTTAGTGCTAGCATCCTCACTGAAACTCAAAATCCCTGACATTGAATTTTGCATGAGAATCTGCCTGCTGCTGCTTGTGGTTGATCCTTCCATGCACAACATGGGATTGGAATATGACCGATTGATCACATCAATTTTTGCGCTTATAAAGTTGAATTCTTTATTAGGAACGCGAGTAGAAGATGCCAACTTGTAAGAGTTGTTAATCGAAAGATCAACCATATGTTTCGGGTTTATCCCCATGTTTTTAGGCAGAGGACCCTGCTTAACCCTCCTAAAAGGTTTTGTTGTTGTTGATGTTGAATCCTCCAGGAGAGAGAGGAGTTTCTTGAACTCCTTGATCGCTTCATTGGCAATTAGGCTCGACTGTTCGATGATGCTACTATTTAACAGGTTGTTCTGATCAGAAATTGAGCTGATATATTGGTGGGCATATCTTAATCCTGTTTGAGCCGCTTCGTTGACTTGCAAATCACTAATGCTATAGACTGCTGTGCTAAAATCACATGCATTTGAAGCAGCATGCATTGTTTAAAAGCACTTGAAGAAATTGCAGAAATTTCTTTCTACAGTTTTAGTTGGTTGATCAAGAAAGCTTGTTAAGTTGTTGCTTTTTTTTTGATAGAAATTAGAGTTTGACTATCCAACTTAATGGAGAATCATTACTACAATAGTTTATATTTGATAGAATAAAAGTCATAAACATAATTCATTTAATCATTAATATGATAGTCATCAAGGTTCATATGGAGTAAATTAGACATATAGCCAGATGGGATTAACAAGTTATCACGTCGTAACGTTATCTTTGCTCAAGTAGTCAAACGATGCTCCCACTCAGCAGAGGTCTCTGTTGTAAGGAAGAATCTCAAGGGTTGTTGCCTGTTGCCCACACTTAACTTTGAAAATATCTTACAAATCCAAAACAGAAGATTTGTAATGTATTTTTCTCCAATTTAAAAAATTACGGGTTAACAATCCATGTACTTAAATCACTCGTGTTTAAGATGGATATTGTCCAAGTGTCGCCATTAATTCAAAAAAATGTACACACTTGGGTTCAAATGAAGCTTCAAGTATCTGTACCCATGTTCAACCGTAGAATATTATATTCAAGTACTAGACACAGAAAGAAAAGTTCAAATAATAGATTAACTATACTGATCTGAAAGAAGATTAGAAATATTCAATCATTGTTTACTTACACAATGCACGCCATTTTCCAAGAATGTTCTTTCGAAACACTGCTGTGCAGGTCTATCGATATTATCTGAGACATTCAAGGACCATCATTCTCAACAGCATACAATGAACTAAAATTTTCATGTCAATCAGTATAACAATGGTAAAAATTTACCCAGCATTCCATCTAAACCCTATTTGACATATCTCTACAGAAACTTTGCTAAGCCACACATAAACTTCACTACAGCACCTTATATAAATGAGTTAAAGCCTTCAAAATGGATAATTATTGTGACATCCACTTGACCTAAATATAAGCTCTGTATCTATAATCAGAACCTGCACATAAGAGATCAGCCCTGATAACTTACAGTTTCTCACTTCATGCATAATACCTTCTTCTGACTCTTGACCTCTTGCTCCTTGTTGTCCTACACCAGTCACTTCCTCCGTCGTCACCCATCTTTGCCCTCATCTTTTTGTATTCCCGTGATCTTATAACACCTTCCAAAAGATTGATGTCTTCTCGGATCTCTTGCCTTGATAAAGTAGATAGGCCAGGGAGTATATCTTTCTGAAAATCTTTCATCCGAGTTCCCCTTTTTAGCTTACACCTGACATCCTTGTTCTCTGATTCATCTACCAGAAACGCGGTTGAGGTAACACAATAATCAGCAGTGCTGATCTCTTCTGCCTTCAGTACCATCGCCTCGTAAGATTCTGAAGAACACTGAGGCTGGTCATTTTCTTCATTTTGGAACTTCTTCAAAGGCGTTTTCACTGATTTACCTTCACATAAGGTTCCTGTTTTCAAAGACATTTGTAAAAGTAGTTCAGCCGCTGCTTGAATGGTTCCATCAACCTCTGATTTGCTCCTAATAATGCACTGAACATTCGATTCAGAGCTATCAGAAGATCGTAGGTCTTGCTCTCCTGACTGAGTGACTAACGGACCGATGTTAAGTCTTTCTCCATCAGACGTAGCAAAGTTAACATCATCACATCGAATACCAGATTGCATGGTCTTTATGCTGCTCGAATGATGATCTATCAGGCCTTCTGAATCAGAAGAATTAGATAGCTTGCAGCAACTAAGCTGTTCAAGGGGTTCCGCACCCTTCTCTAAGTTTGCTTCTGCTCCAACTGCATCAACCATGTCCATCTCACATGAAAGACCATTTGAAATCTTTGATGATGACCCCACGCTTGATATTTTTGGGTCAGATCTGCTACTACAAAGCTCCTCAGAGGACTCAGAATCAAGATCTACAACACTGATGTTAAGTTCATTACCTTCTCTACACTCCCCATCCTTACTGCATTGTTCTCCATCACTGCCTTTGTTATTTACATCTATTTGTCGATGATTTCCACGCATTTCCACGAACGAGTTCACATTTGCTTCTTTCCAAAAATTGGGGCTGACAAAAGAAGCTACATTGGACTTGGGATAAACCTTATCTAACACAGATGATGAGCTAGTTATTGATGAATTGACCACCACTGAATGATTATTTGAGAAATATGATTGGTCTTCAAGCTGAACTGTATTGAGGTCCAAGCTATTATTTATTTTACAAGTAGGTGCCCTTTTATTCTTGTTCAAAAGATTAGCAAGCAAGGATTTTTTGTGGTGCCCATTTGTTCCTGCACACATGATGACATGAGCAAATTGAACTCTGATCATTAAGCAATTTCCACACAAAAAGATTATAAAATGTTCCCAGATGCAAAATAAACTGTCAATAAACTAGGAAGTAGGAATAGTGGTATGGGCAAGTATTGTAACTCTAAGGTATACCTGAATCACATAGTGATTGTGTCTGACAGCTTAAACCAGCATCTACAGGAGATCTATGCAGTGGGGTTCCATAAGGGCCATCCTTGATGGCACTTTGTGAAAGGCTTTCTGGCTTCAGCTTGCTACTATTCAAAAAGCTATCTGACTTTTGGTCGTCTCTGGAGCAATTTTTTGGAGCAGCAGATCCAGAAGTAAGCCTAATATATGCTTCAGAATTTGAAAGGCTAAAATTTTCATCTTCGAGATCAATGATGTCAATTGAAGATGAACAGGTTTTTTTTCCCTTCCAAGATCTGAGTTCTCCACTCTTCTTGCTAGCATTAGGTCCAATGCTCAAAGATAGATTTAGATGACCTGGATCAAAATCTACTTCATCCCAGGAAGAATTCTTAGTCACTACACCATTTCCAGAGGAATCATCTTGGCCAATAAATTCATCGGCTGAAAGCTGGAGATCAAGATGTTTCTGCATAGTCACAGGAGGTTTTTGCTGTAACTCATAAGACATATTGAAGTTTGAAAATTGCATGTATTCAGCCTGAAAAAACATTAGTTTCACTGTCATATACTAGCAAGAAACAAGGGAATTCCAGTATGAAATTGTTACATGTTCAACTATTCACAAATATTACTGCAGCAAGATGACATCACATTAGGATAACCCAGAAAAAACCTCCCATCCCAATCCACACTACCTCAACAACAGAAACAAAGTAGCAAAGCAGAAAAGATAAAAGTGGCACTGCCATTATTTACGTGAAGGGATATTGTATACTCCGTATAAGATAGCTTAAACTCACCATTGAACATCTTAAATCATTGTTCAAGCCTCCTTCGCGCATATTGTAATTATATAAACTCTTCTGTTTTAATTCTTCCATCCTAGCTACTTGTACTCTGTAAAGTTCATGAAGTTCAGTGACCTGAAGACAAAATCATGTAAAATAATTTAAAAGTTGAGTGAATTCTCATATCTGCACAAAAACACAGGATGTAAAGGACATCCAGATTCTGCAACAAATAACCTTGAATTGCCAAAAAAATATTGAAAATTAAATACAAAAGCACAGGATATAAAAGACATCCAGAGTCTGCGACAAATAACCTAGAATTGCCAAAAAAAAAAATTGAAAATCAAATGAAATTTTTTCTTGGTATAGTTATGGACTTATGAATCTACAAGAATATCGCTGGCTGTCAGAAGTTGAGCATATATAACTAAGGAAAGCATCATAATCAACCATTTTTGTGAGAATTAAATAAAAAATTAATACCTGCCTCCTAAAAGCAAACTCTTGATCAAGCATTGTCTGCTTTAATGTCTCTTTTAATGAATCTCTGGAGTTGTGAACAGAATATAGATCAAGATCACCTTGGTCAAGCATTTTACCCTCGCAGACATTAGAGGAAGAGACCACTCCTGGACTTGATTTCACAATCCCCCATTCCTGCACATCTTTTAACCTTTCAGAAGAAGAAATCGGCATGTTGAGAGAAATGTAAAAAGGCTGCACTACCAATTGGGTATATAAACTATAAAATAGAGGCAAGACATGCATTTAGTGTCCCGTGATCTACTGCCAATAATGATATAGATAGGATCAGATGAGACCAGGGTCAAAGGTTCATGTATTAATTGCAATGGCCAAAGCTTTCCAGCTGATATTTTCCGAAAATAAGGAGTTGAAGAGCGTGTAACAGCCAATAGCATCGATACATTTGATGTACATCAAGTAAAGGCACAATCGTAACACGCTATCAAAACTGAAAGGACTTATATAATACCAATCAGTTTCTAAAGGGCTAACGGCAGTGTTTGTTACAGGAATTCAAGGACTTACACAATATGGATCAGTTTCTAAAGGGCTAAAGGCATCGTTTGTTACAGGGATTCCCCCCATAGGTAGTCAAGTAACAAAAAATAGTGAGTCGGAGCAAGCTAGACCAAGGCTACATTTGTTTTGGTGGAAAACATTTTCTTGGAATGATTTTGAGATTTTTCCCTCAACTCTCCATTTTCCTTTAGAGAAGGAAAGCATTTTCCTACAAAGAAGGTATGCCACATTTTCCTTTATACTTCTCTATCCTTCCCCACCCTTTTAATTCCATTCTTATTATCCATGAGTTTTCCTATAGTCAAAGAAGCAAGGGAAAATCATTTTCACAATCATGCTTTCAATGGAAAATTATTTAATTAGAAAATGATTATGACTTTCCATGAAAAATGTTTTCCATCAAAACAAACGGAGTCCAAATGACGGAATGTGATCAAGCCATATTGTGGCCACAAAAACAGTAGCTATCATTCACTCAAACATGATATGATTCTAATAAACATTAAACAGTTCATATTATATAAAAAGTGTACAACTCTGTTGATTAAAGATGGCATGTACACTTATTCATAAACCCATACACAACTGATCCTGGTTCCACATTTATTGATCCAACATCCAAGCAATACCTCTACTACGATGAGGTCCCATCCCAAAACCATCAAGGAACAAAACAAGTAAAATGCAAAAGTTATACAACCTCAGTTTTTACTTATTGCAACACATCATTTTGACATGCACTTTAAGAAAGATATTAGACTATGGAAACGGACAAATTAATTGAATTTTTTACCATTGATAAGTAGAAAGTGTTAAGTTACGGTATGAATTTAATACCTAAATCCGTCCATTTACCTCTTCTAATCACTTTCTCAAATAATGTGCGAGAAAAGCGTGTTGCAAGTATAAGAAACAAAGGAAGTATAATACTAAAACACCTCAATCATGAACTACTCCATAACCATTTCAATGGAAATATCCAGTAAGTTAACAATTCAGTAAAAACTCTGTCCCTTCGTATAATTAACTGTTTCATATCACATTATCACATTTTCATCTCAAAGATCAAAATTTCACCCATAATTAACCTGATGAAAGCAATTGAAGCAACAGAACTACAACGATCCACGAACTCTATTATGTTCCACACTTTTAAGGATTACATTTCAATTCCAATTACTCCGTACATGATTATAACATAATAAATTCGTGGGTCCTATGATTAATTATTCCAAATAAGATAAACCCAGAAAATTATCAAAATTAAAACCCAACATTCATATAGAATCATGAAAAAAAACCCCAAACACATACAAATAATTGAGTAATTGTAGGTAAAACAGCAATTATATTAAAGAGACTGTACATAATAACTATCATAATCACAATGATATATCTCAATATATGTAACAGTTAGAAAACGGAGGAACGTAAACAAAATCAAATCGAGAAACCCAGCAACAATGTAACCATCCCAAAAAAAAAAACATGAGAATAATATAACTACTCGTATAAAACCATATAGTAAAAATTCGACTTCCTAAAATAAAAAAATAAAAAAAAAAGTTGCATACAGTATAATAATACGGAGTAGCATATAATAAAAAATAATATGAGTAAATAAAAATGGATGGTAAGGCAGAAGATATTTAAGAGAGAGAAAGAGTACCAGGATCTGAGAAAGATGTACGAAAGGAAGAAGAAAAGTATGTAGAGGTCACAAGTAACCAAACAATGTTGTTGATGTTGAATGCTTCCAAAAACGTAGCAATATAATTTAATATTATTATCGAATAAATAATTTATACAGTGGTATAATCTTCCATGTATACCCTGAAAAGAAGAAACAAAGAAAGAATTCTGTTGGGAATGAAAAAATTGAAGAAGATGAAAGAAATAATCAAGTAAAATGTAGTTGAGGTTGAGGAGAGAGAAAAATAAAAAAGTGGAAGCATAAAAATCGGGTAAGTTTCTTTAGTGTGGGAGATTAGAGAGAGAAAGAAGGGGGAAAAAAAATAAGTAAATGTCTCATTCACTCTTTCTCCTCATTCATCAGTCGTTGGGATTCCCCTTTCTCTCTCCTCCTCCTCCTCAACTCCTATTTTCTCATTATCGAACTACGCAAATACACTCCTACGAGAAGTAGGCAGTAGCCCCCCCCCCCCCCCCCCCTTTTTTTTTTTTTTTTTTCTTTTTTTTTCATCTGCACTTTGAGATTTCTGTTGCAAAAACAAGGCCAGTCAGAATTTGTTGGGACACTTTCAATGCTATAAACCACGCTATTATGGACCTTTTATTAGGAGTATTTATATCTACGCTTTCTCGTGATATTTTCTGATTTCATACTCTCTTCGTCTTTTTTTTTTTTTTTTTTTTTTTTCTTATAACTAATATTTGGGTCAATTTTAAAAAATTTACCATAAATTTCCATAAATCTATAAGAAATAGTATAATCATGTGGGATTTTTATTGATTTGTTTCATTGTATATTTTATTAATATAAAGTTTTAACAATTTTTTAGTGCAGCAGGTCACACCGTGTTACCCGAGTTATTTTGTTAGGGGTTACCCGAGTTTTTCACTCAGGGGTTCACACAGGGGTTACTCGAGGGGTTCACTCGATCAAGGGTTACTTGAGGAGTTACTCGGTCAGGGATTATTCAAGTTACTCGGTCAAGGGTTACTCGAATTACTCGGTTAGGGGTTACTCAGTCATGGGTTACTATATTACTTGGTCAAGGGTTACTCGATTAGGAGTTATTTAAGGTGTTCGGTCAGGAGTTACTCGGGTAATTTGGTCAGGGGTTATTTAAGGAGTTCGGTTAGAGGTTATTCGGTCAAGGGTTACTTGAGGGTTCAGTCAGGGATTACTTGAAGAGTTACTTGGTCAGGAGCTAATCGAGGGGTTTGGTCATGGATTACTTGAGGGGTTACTTGGTCAGGGGTTACTTGAGGGTTCAGTCAGGGGTTACTTGATCAGGAGTTAATCGAGGGGTTTGGTCATGGATTACTCGAGGGGTTACTCGGTCAGGGGTTACTTGAGGGGTTACTCGGTTAGGAGTAACCACTGACTGAATAACTTGAGTAACCCCGACAACTCGAGTAACCCTTGACCGAGAAAGTCGAATAATCCCTGACCAAGTAACTTGAGTAACCCCTGTCGCACAGTACAGCAGACGCATACAAAAAATTGTGATAATTTTTTTTATTATTTTTACACAATATGAAAATGGAGATATATACATTTTAAAACGCATCTTGGAAATCGTGAAAAATCAATTGAGACAAAAATATAGGGACTCGTATAATTACCCGATTTGTATTTGTTTAGAAGTTCTGTTTCCTTAATTTAACGTGTTTTTATACTCCACTCTTTTGAGAAAATGTTTAATTACCTGAATTATTAATAGCTAGATTTACATCCAAAATTTGCCAATATTAGATAATCTGAGTATCTGACTTTGACTCATATAGAATTACACTAATGGGATAGAATTTTACTAAACTGAATTCCGCAATTTCCTCTCTTAATTTACCCCTCACAATATATCTTTGGTATCACACTCTTATAAGGTTGCTGTAATTCCTCTCTCTTACAATGTGAAAATTCTATTATGACTCACTTCAAGGGTATTTTAAATTATTATTTTGTATGTAAAGTTAACAAATGTCTTTTTGATATAACACGTAACTATAGTAGAATGGTCATGTGTAATTTTTCAAAACTCATAAGATACATCTAAATTAAAAATATTACGTACAAATTATAATGTTATGGTGTAAAAGGCTATTGGATTAGTCTATTAAAATTGATGAATTAATCTATTATTTAAATACAAGTAGTTATACTTTAGTAGTACGTATTTGGTATTCCTTATAACTGTATAAGGTTATGATGGAGGAGTGATACTTGTTACAATTAAGATGGTGACAGCTTCCACCAGGCCGGCCATCTTCTATCCCTTTCCATGGTATAATAATATACATGGGCTATTAAAGTAAGAAGTTGATCGACTATCAAATTTGCAACGTACCTACTAAAACATCAAAATCATGTTCAAGAGGCATTGGCCCCCGTACCTACAACATCAAATTCATTTTTTTTTTTTTTCTAAAGAACAAAAACTTGTATACTCAATTTATTTTAAGATAGTTGACATCGGAATAATAGGACACAATCTCAGCTCTTACAATTTGTAATTTATAACTAATTAATATTTGAAAACACAAATAAATGTTATGAAACTTAGCAAATAGTATGTACTCCGTAGAAAATATTAGCTCTCATTTTTATTTATATTTTTTTTTTATCTTTTAGAGATTTCCCTATAAATATGTTTCAAATTATTTATGGCCAAGTAATTCATATGTTACTCCGATAAAAACTACCCATAATCAAAACATGTGATCCCGTTATTTGCATATTTAGGGCACAGAACGTCAATAGTTATATGACTTATATCTATTGGATACCCCTTACTTTATTTATGCTCACTTGATATGGTAGAGTCTTGCGTGTCTATACCCTTAACTTTCATGATTATTGCATAACTAAAATAAATCCTTTTTATTTAGTATCGTTAGAGGAGTAAAGTTGAAAGGTTTGCGAGAATGGACCCCACTAAAGCTTTTCAATTAAGGACTTTAAGGTGATGAGTATTAGCATCATGAAAAAGTAATAGCTTTTGTTTCATCTAAAAGGGTACAAGTTAGGTCATGATTAAGGTTTTTTTTTTTTTTTGGTAAATAAATATGAAGGCTTTGCCAACATAAAATCTCATTAAGATTCGTTCAACTCGAGTTAGTAAAGTAGACACTTTTTGGGAGTGTGGATGTGGAAAATAAATGAGTGTGAGTGTGAGTATGAGATTGATGATTCTAACCTTGGAACTTAATTGGTAAATTTAGCTTAATTTGTATTATGATGTAGCTCAATTCGTAGATCTTATTTCCTTTTATTTACTCCATCTATAGCATTTAGTGAGTAATGTATTGGTTGATTAGTAAAATGATCAAATTCAAGGTGGTTATCGATTGATGATTTATTTTTCTCAATTTCCAAATTATACTACTCGAGTATCTGATCCTATCTTAATGTTGCTCAAGACCTAATTTAATTATCACACGAATATAGGTATATATTAGCATATTAAGCTTTAACGCTCTAACAATCTAATAGACATTTTGAGAGAAGCAAATACTTCAATTCATTCATTCTCTTAAATAGCAACATTTGAAATTATGCATTAGTAAGCGCAAGTGAAATTCAAGAGTTACAAATTAAAAAGAATTGAGAAAGTATATCTACAATTAAGATGGAATAGAAAATCCATAAAGTTCTTATTATTTAATTAGGCTATACCGTAATTCAAGGATTTTTAGTTATAGTTCTAGATAGTGAAAATTGTATACGTACAAAAAACCTTTCAGAAATAATAAGTATGTTAATAAATGGGAATAACTAATGACATAAGGTAATAAAGCGAAGAGTAGATCATTCAAAGTCTGATCTTTGTGTAGGTATAGACTTATACTCCGTGGTAGCTTGCTACTTGTTCTCTAAATGAAATATTACTCGATAAGGCAACTTGTTCTCTGGAAAACCACATGTTGAACGCCAGCCAGCTTGTGCCCTTACATGCTGTGCACATTCACTAAATATCACGTCTCACCTCTCCCCTCCCCAAAGAGCCAACATAAAAACTAGCATAATGTTAATTATTAGTATTATTACCAATCACAGACTATATGCATGATTTTCATACCCTAATTCAAATCTGACTTCATGTAAATAAATAAAAACATGATACTCTCCACTTATGCAATCAAACACCGATTATAAAGCTACTCTATAATTTTGTTATTTTTCTATCTGGACCAACTAACCCAAATGGTTGCCACTTGCTAGAATGCTAGATTATGATCTTCTAATTAATAAATTGGATACTTTTTTCTATCATCATTTCATGCAACACTCAAATTAATCCAAACCTGAAATTACGATAATCAAAGCAAGAACATGATGATTAGTATGAGTGAGATAGACAAATAATGACCAAAAATATGGACAGGGAACAAAAGTTAACAAAGGAGATATCCCAACTATTTAGGAAATGAGTGGATTATTGTTGTTAGATTATGTTAATTAAACTAATTACTTCTTCATCTTAATTGGTCCACACCCAAGTACCATTAGCGAATAATAATTCAGCCAAAAGATGAGAAAAAAAAAAGGGTAGCGTAGCTGACTTAACACGACAAATCCATTATTAATATCCAGATAATATGATATTGATCATATTATTATAGCTGTATAGTTGTACTTAGAGGAAAGAAAGAAGGCCGGCATTTGGCTACCTGAGACCTGAGAATTAATCCTTTGAAATTTATCAGGTATCTTTCCCATAAAGCATGGTGCCATTTTATATATTGGAAATTAGATCTGAATTGACACAACCCAATTATGTTGGAGGATTTTTTTATACTGAAATATAGACTTGAATGTAACGTAATACTCTTTTCATTCCGCTGCAAACGATTTGATTTCATTATAATTAAATCATTTAATTTCCTTATATAAATTGGACATTTTTTTTTTGTTTAATGGGGAATACACATCCCAATACTTAGCTTCCCTTTATTGTTATATCCGTTTAACATGGGATGATAATTCCACCACTCATATGTGGGTTTGTTCATAGACTCAACAATGTAGGACAACACTTCTGTTCATAGGCTAAAGTGCTCAACAATGCGTTTATGCGTGTCATAATGTTGTATTGCAAGTAAAAAAAGGAAGAAGTGTTATATCGATATTTAGAGCTAACTTACTTGGTATCTAAACATTTCGTCTTTTATGTTATTTAGCTTCTTCAATCATCAACTGTAAACATAATGAGGAGTTTAGAAACAAACTAATCCAAAAATGTGATACGTACATAAAATCAACGGATTTTTCATGAAATACCACTGAGTTTTTCCAAAATTCACCATATACCACACAAAATTTTCTAATACACCAAATATCACTGAGTTTTTGGTAAATGTCACAACATATCATTAATGACCAACGGACGTTAACACCGTTAGTCATTAAGGCTAATAATGCCACGTGGCAGCTTGTGATTGGTTCCCTTCTAAATTATTTAATTTTAGCATAAATATTTAATTAATTATCAAATAAAAAAAAACCAAAAAATAACAAATAATAATTAAAAAAAAAACCTGCTGCCACCAGCCAGCCCATTCCGGCCGCCAAACCCCTTGCCACCGAGGCCAGGACATAAAATCAATATGCCTTGAACTTATAATTGCAAGAGTTGACTAAATATAGAGTAGCTCTCACAATTTAGTCAAACTGTTACAAATCCTTGCAACTAAAAGTGAAGTATATTTGCCTTCAAAAAAAAAAAAAAAAGAAAAAAAGTGAAGTATATAGAAGTATTAACCTTCAAATAATCAACAATGTACGTAGCACTTTTCCAAAAAAAAAAAAATACTTTGTACTCTTATCACTTAGGAGTTGAAAACCTCATACTATTACTCCCTAGGTATCACTTATTAGGATTATTACATTTCCGAAGGAGCATGTTTTCCGGATAAATGCTCCCTAGTTTTTGGGTTAATCAAGAAGCTACTCGTAGTACATGGATGGGGGTGTCCAAAGTTCAAACTCCAAAATAGATTACTGCCAATTTATCAAATATATTACTCCATTTTAAGCTAAGTAGAGTATCCAGTTAGATTATTCAGGACTTCTGAGAATAGTGCAAGAACGTGGACACCAGTTGATCTTAGGGAATTGGGGATCGATTTTATATAATACTCCATACATTGATACATAATTTCTTGGACTATTGGTCCCTAATCATGCTTATGTATCATGTATGTAGCACTTATCACGGCTATCATCAAATTATGATAGATTGCTAGTACCATAGTTCAATTTTTTTTTTCCCCCTCATTAAAAGTACAAACTAAATAAACTACGCCATATAAGTATTACTCCAATCATATATACATAAACTGAAATTGTAATTTATGTTTAATACTTAATTTTACTACGTAATTACGAGTATAATATGCAATTCTTTTAGGACTATATATAAGTATACATACTTCTTTTAAAATTGGTGTAATTAATGCTTAGCCTTTTCTCTTAGGGTTAATCTATCATTTTTCTTAACATTTATTTTAATTTTTGTTACTCATAATCTGTAACTTGACAAACTATGTTGAGTAAAAAAATATACGTAGAAATTACAAAAAATAAACAAATGAAGCAAATATGATGAGTAGAGAATTAAGGTTGATAATTTGATAAATAATACTTCGTAAGAGATTAAGAGTTGCCTATTGGATCTATTGATTTAAGTTATTTTTAATACTTCATCCGTTCTCAAAATATTGCAACAATCGGACTTTTGCACTATTCATTATTCTTGTTTGATCACATAATATGATTCATATGTTAAGTAAAATATAGTCAGGTAGGATCTTGTTAGATTCGTCTCATAAAATACTTTTACAATATCAACTTTTAAATTTTTTTACCCATTATAATTATATATATTTAACATGTAAATGTGCTTTTGGATGAATTATTATTAAAACGGAGGAAGTAAATTAGTAATCTATAAAATTAGTAAACAAGAATCTAATGCTATAATTTTTTGTACTCCAAAACAAAACAATATTCTATCCAAATTTTTTTTAGCGTACAAACAAATTTCGTGTTGGATAAGAATGGGTAAAAAATGTCATTTTAATTTGGTGGACTAAGTTATTTTGAGAGAAATTAATAATATGACAACCACAAAATAAAGGTATTTTATCCTTGTACTCCTTGATTACGATGATAAAATTAAACAGTGTATCATTTCACCAAGGCTCTACGATCCCAATGACGCCAATTCAACTGACACCCAAGAAAGTCGCCGTAGTTGGCGGCGGCGCAGCCGGCTTAGTGGCGGCTCGAGAGCTTCGAAGAGAAGGTCATAAGGTGGTCGTGTTCGAGCGTGGGCCCCAGTTGGGTGGGACATGGGTCTACTCGCCGGAGGTTGAGTCTGACCCACTTGGACTCGACCCAACTCGCAAAATCGTTCATTCTAGCCTCTACAGTTCTCTCCGCACTAATCTTCCTAGAGAAGTTATGGGTTTTCGTGATTTCCCCTTTGTTGCTTCTGGTAACTCTCTTTCTCTCTGATACAATTAATTATTTTGATTTGATCTAATGATGCAAAGGCTTGAATTTGATTATTGGTATTAATGATATGTTTTTTTTTGTTTTAAATTGGTAATTAGGTTGTGTTTTTCTAACTTGGGCATTGTTTAACCCCAATTTAATGATGCACTCAGCTGCAAAATGCTTGCACCCAGAAGAATACAACTCATTATCGAATACTTATTTTAGTTTCAGTTAGCCTACTATAGTTAATTTTACATCTTTTAAAGTCAAATCTTTGATATATTTGTGAGCATTGATCAATTCTAATGTCCATAAAATACTTTTGGGAAAAGGTTTTTGTCCAAGTCAAATACAGTCTTTATGTGATGTGTGATAATTCTATCAGTTGCCTGCAAATGCACCTTCCCAAAACCAGCTATTGCGTGGTGATTAAATGAACTTTGTGCAAACTATATATCAGGAGTGTATTACGGAGTATATGATGTTGAAATAGGCTTTAAGAGATATGGAGTATGTTCAATAATTACTAGATCTGGGGAGTTGTCCATTTAGACATATTGTTGATGGGTTATGCTGGTCTTCTTTCAGGAAAGGCGGACAGAGATTCACGGAGGTTTCCAGGTCATCAGGAGGTGTTGAGATATTTAGAGGACTTTGCTAATGAGTTTAGGTTACACGAGCTGGTTCGTTATCAGACAGAGGTGTGTCATGTTGGTTTGGAGACTGAAGGTAATTGGAAGGTGAAATCTAGGATGCAAGTTGGAAATGATGGTAGTGAATTTGATGAAACTTATGATGCTGTGGTTGTTTGCAACGGACATTATACTGAACCACGGATTGCTGAAATTCCAGGTACTTTATTAAATGCTATTGTTGGCTCCCTTTTTATATTAAAGATCTTGATAGTTTTTTCATTGTATATATTCATATGATTCATATCTTGCAGGCATTGAGCAATGGCCAGAGAAGCAAATACATAGCCACAATTATCGTCTTCCTGAGTCCTATCGGGACCAAGTATGTGCCCTGTTTTCTATTTTCTTTGGTTTTGTTCTCTTTGTACCTTGAAATCTATGGGGTGATAGTGTTTATGCATATGAAGTCTTTTTTATTATTCAATAAAATTCCTAGCAGCATTCTTTGCAATGAACTCTGTCATGCTTTATACTTGTAATTTAAGCTCATCTGATGTCCTGATGTATGTTCTTCCATAGACGATAGAGAGGTTGTTGAGCTGATTTACATGCTGTCTGAACTTGGCTTCCTGTTTGGGAACGCCAGTGTTCCTTGCTATTGTGATCGAAGCGTGGTGAACTTTTGTATCAGTAGGAAGAAAGAAAAGCATATTGGGCCCCTCCTTTCCCCCCTTTGTTGGAGTAGCTTGCTTTGCTAATAATTCTGATTTTGGCAATCTGATTCTGCTTTTACCAGGTTATAGTCCTGATAGGGAGTTCTGCAAGTGCTGTCGATATATGCAGGGACCTTGCTAAATTTGCCAAAGAAGTCCATGTAGTATCTAGATCAAAACCAGAAGGAAGTTTCGGAAAGCAGCCTGGTTATGATAACTTGTGGCTCCATCCAATGGTAAAAGCACTTACCTAGGGTAAGAAATAGATGGCCATCATTGGAAAGTATGTCGATGGCATTGTTTGTCCCTGCTGAAGGGGATTAGCTGATAGCCTGCCTTTCTAACAGAAACAATAATGCAGATAGAAAGAGCCCATGAAGATGGTAGAGTCACATTTCAAGATGGAAGTGCGGTGCTTGCACAAGTCATTCTCCACTGCACGGGGTATTTCGAAACTCTCTAGATTCTCTGACTACTTATTTGTTTTTTTTAACAAAAATAAAAATTTAAGCAACAAGCTGCAGAATATCACTATATAGTAATTTATCTGCAACATTCTTTCAGCTACAAGTATCATTTCCCTTTTCTTCATAACATTGGTGCTGTAAATGTCGATGATAATCGCGTGGGACCACTGTACAAGCATGTATTTCCACCTGCATTAGCCCCAGGGATCTCTTTTGTTGGCCTCCCATGGAAGGTAAGAATTTCTCCTGGTATTGTTTTGTTTTGTGTCTCTTGGGAGATCATGGTCTCATTGCCAGATGGTTGGACCAACTTAGTAAAAATTTCTGAATATTGGCGACAGGTTATCCCTTTTATTCTCTGTGAACTTCAAAGTAGGTGGATAGCAGGTGCTTTATCAGGTCGGATATCCCTCCCGTCAGAAGAGAAGATGATGGAAGATATAGAATCTTACTACTCAAAATTGGAAGCTGCAGGAGTTTCAAAGCATTATACTCATAACATTGGTGATCATCAGGTAAATTTTGCTCAATAAGAACAATTTCCATAATTAACTTATGAATGCTTGCTCATAGTCGCAGACGCACTAAAAATATAATGCTATGCTACTGTGTTTGCAAACTATTGATCTTGTGAATTTCTCTTTTGTTTACGTAGTATTTAATTTGAAGTCAGCTAATGGGAATCGAGGCTTGCAGAAGTCTCTTTTGCATGTCTTAGTCCAATAGATTTTGTCCCCTGTGCTTATATGTTTCAAACTCCTCTTTCCTTGGTTGTCGTCGCCCTTTCCCTCTTTTTCCTTCATTCATCTTCATGATCCGTTCAGATACTAGTCAACAGCAAATAATATTTGCATGGACAATTACTTGATTTTGATATGGAATTTCTAAATACCTCATCCCTAGAAGATGCTGCATATCTGACTGACTAAAATCCTGGCAGTTTGATTATGATGATTGGCTTGCTACGGAGACTGCTAGCCCTCTCATCGAGGAATGGAGAAAGGGAATGTATCGTGCAGCTAGCCTCCGCAAGAGAGCTAAACCAGAGACATACCGTGATGAATGGGATGATGAAGACTGGAAATTGCAAGCCTATGAAGATTTTAAGCAATACTTCCCTGTCGAAAGCAGTACTGTGATTGCCTCTTCGGCACTTTGATTCAAACTTTGGTACAGGATTATTGACTCAAGATGGTTTAAGTCACACACGTCTTCCCTTGAGAAAAAATAACCAGCATTGGCATCAAAACATATACTTAGTACGTACCAGTATGAATATAAATTTTCCATACTTGCATAGATAATAAAATGTTTTTTGCATTTTTCTGCAATAGCTGAGTTTGTTAGCATATGTGGCTATGTGCTCCATTTCATTAATGTTATTTGTAATGGAGTAATTGAAGGCAGTAAAACAAACCAAATTCTGAAAACAATATCAATTCAAATCAAGTTCACGTATAAATCTGCTTTTTGGTAGGAGGCTTTTAAAGGCCCCACTTATAGATGCTGTGATCCAACTAGGCCCACAATTTGGGGTCTTGGGCTTTTTTTTCTGTCCAGTCCCTACTCAAGTACTGAGTACTGGCCTAACCCAGCTATTTAGTACGACTAGTATCAATCATTTTTTCCTTTTTTTTCTTTTCTTTTCTGTTTTGTTGGGTCTTGGGTTAGGGACACTGGGTCCATTGCGAAGTAAGGTTGTGGACCCTTCACTTATCACATATTCTAAAGCTATCGTTATTAATTTTTTAAAGTTGCAATTTTTTTTTCTCAATAAATGTTGCATTTTCATTTTCTGAGAGAGTCAAGAGTCTACAATTGAATGATTTTAATACAATAGTATTACTCAACCGTCTTACGGATAGAGATGTGTAATGCGAAAACTCTCTTAAAAGTCATTACAACACCCATACTAACGTTAAAAATCACATTATAATATTCCATCATTTCGTGTACTCATAAAAGCTAAAATGACTAATGCTGTGAATTAGAAAATGTATTGATCACGTTTTGAGAAGAAAAGTTAAAATATCGAGAAAGGTGATGGTTCCAAAACGAGGTACAAAATCCTCCAAGTGTATGCATATAACTTCACTTAAACATCACAATGGATGAGAAATAGCATGCTCCCTAGATTCATAAGCTAAATAAAGAAACCATAGTAAAATTGATCCCCATACTAGTAGACATAAAAAAGAAACCATTCTAAAATCAAAGAAACAAACAATTAATATGGTAAAAAAAAAAAACATTAATGCAGTAACAAGAATAATCCAAAATAGTAACATTACTAAAGATTATAGTTCAACCACTAATAATTTAACATACCATATGTTAAAGGTATAACCCTCCAAAATTAAAGATTGAGTTAATTTTCTATCCAAGTATCTTGTGGAAATTACTATACCTATCCAAATTAGCAACCCTACTAAATCAATTTTTTTTTTTTTTTTTACCTCATATAGGTGCCCAAATCAGTAAATATTTTTTAACCTCATCTACAAAATTGGGAAAGTAACAAAAATTTACTTCCCTCTACCTAAAAATAGTAAAACCCTTTACTGAAAAACCAACCAATAATTTTCCTCTTCACAAATTTCTTTTTCATTTTTTATGGGATTGTGTTCAGAAACTTCACTTTCTTTCAGCAGAGAGGAGACCGGTTCGGGACCCCTTTTTTCCTCCGGTTCAGAGAATTGTGATTATGTTCAGCCGGTTCAGCTAATCGACGACACGCTGAATCAACAGAAGAAGGGCGGTTCGAACCGGGCCGAGCTACACCACTTAGATTACTGCGCCTTTTCCTGACAATTTCTGTAGATGCTGTGCAAAGTAGAGCGGTCCGAAGGTCATTGCTTGAAGTTGAACCTGATGAAGTTGGAATTGAACCGGACGAGTCAAGGACTGAGTCTGGTGTTACTACTTGAAACTCGTCAATGTCGGAAAATCCCAACATTTTGTGGTCTGATACGTTGATTCTTAAGCTCCCTTGTGTTGAGATTATATGCTCCACCTTTAATAATTTCAACAAACCAAAAATTAATATAATTGAAAAACAAAAAATATCAAAATTAAAAATCAGGAGAAAAGAAAGTGAAATTGAAATACCTTGCAAGAGAGACAGCAGAAAAGGAAAGGTTCTTGTAAAGAGCGATTGCAGGTGAAGCAGCAATTTCCAGTACTTGGGCTTCTGTTGAATCGAGATTTTGGCCTTTGTCTTAAAAATACCACTTTTGCACTGTTTGTTATGTATCCCTTCATTTTGATGATTCAATTCAATCCCAGAAAAAACAAATTGAATCAGGTTCATAATTTGAAAAAATGAATTAGTTTTTATTTCTGGGAAAAATGAAAAGACTTACTTGAATACCAGAGCAATCCATGAGTTTTTCAGCATCAGACAGTTTAAGAACATCATTGTAAACGTATCGTCTTGCCTATAAATCATTTTTTTTTTTTTAAATCAACAATTTTAATTTAAAAGAAGGAAATTCAATGAAAAAAAAAGGAGATGTTTTTGATAAGAAGAACCTGAAGAAGGACATGTTTGCGGTGGCGAAAGAGGCATTTAGGACAGAGACTAGAGCAGCAATCAAAGCAGAAAAGGTTTTTCTCAGATTTCTTATCAGAAGAAGAATCGGAATGAAGCAAACAAGGCTCAAAGAATTTCTCATGAAGCAGAGCATCCAACCATGTCGGAATTGAACGAAGACCCACCTGATTAAATTCAACAAATAAGTATTTAATCCAGTACTTAAATCATAAACCAACAAACAAACAAAGTAAAATTGAATAATTAAAGAAAGAAAGACCCACCATAATTTAGAAATAGAAAAACAGAGTATTAGGAGAGAGAAATAGAAATCAAATCAGAAATGGGGAGTGTGTTTGATTGTGGGAGAGAGTATAAGAGTGAGTAGAGTGAGTGAGCAGAGAGCAGTGTACGAAAAGGAATTGTCGTATTATAAGGAGATTTTGTGATTTTCTCTCTCCTTATTTCTCTCTTGTTGGCAGGAGCTGCAGTAGTGCACTAACGGGGTTCCTCTGCCAACTGCAATGCAGGGATTATTACTGTATTTTGCCAAATTGCCACTATTCTTTGGCTTTTCATTTTACTTTTGATGACTCATCTTCTTTTATTGTTTTTTTTAACTGTATTTATCTTCTTCTAGTACGGACTTAATTTTATCCTAACACATTTCCGAAAGTTTTTTTTTTTTTTTTTTTTTTTTTTTTTTTTTTTTTTTTTTTGGGTGTGTGTGTGTAAAAAAAGCATTTTCGAAAGTTTTTGCATCACTCAACGTGAAAGGTTTTTGTAAAAATTATATCTGATAATCTGGAGTCTATTAGATTGTAACTAATTCGAAATTGAATCTCCTATTAATATTTTAGTTGGTTGAAAAGCATTCTCAACCTGTGATGTTACATTAATAAGTTTTGAAATCGATCAGTTGATTAAGATGAAACAACTTGATTATCAGCTAATTCAAGCACCTATTGGTTAACCTTTTTGTTTTACCACATGTTCAATAATTTTGGGCATTTCTAGCTTTTAAATATGCTACTCGTCTTAACAAGGAATTTTGATAAGAAATTTGATAAATTTGGAGGCACAAACAAAATAGAGTACTACGAGTATAATAATTGTATTACATTTGTAGCATTATTGAATCAAACAAGTTATCTATCGTCGTTATATAATGTTTAGCTATATTGGGTATTGATTTATGGTCTTATGGAGGATGATTGTTCTTTAAAACCAGAATCTACCATGAACAAATTGGATATATGATTAAGCTACTGAGTATATAAGACTACAAACATATTGTCATGTTAATCTTTCTAGTGAGGTACAATTCTTCACATTGTTAACTTTTGATTGAGACCAAATGCCAGAAATAGGCATATTGAAATCTGATTGGATATAGCATGCAACATTTTATACTGGTATAGTAGTATATGCTTAGTTGAGAGGGCCTAAAGTCCATAAAAAAACTCACGTAGCCCATAAAAGTTGGGCCTGTAAAGTGAGGTCCTCAGCCTGTCAGGGCTATCACTTTTTTTTTTTGGAATCGAACTCGTAACCTTGATGTCATAAAAGGTGATCGGAATACTAAACAAACCTTATCAAACATTAGAGCCAACTTCCAAACAATATAATTATTCACAATTCAACTCTTTTATTAATGTTATGAATCTTATGATACAATAGCGTACACACTCCAAAACGAAACTTAGCAAATAAATGATAACATGCACACAATAGCAAATAACAGAAATACACATTTGTAGGAACATAAATCAAAGAAGTTTCCTTTAAAAACTCAACATTCATCATTCTTTCAAGTGATGGGCCTCAATATCTCTTGTCATTCCAATAATGAAGTCCATCAGTTTAACAGGGTAAGGCCCAAAGTCTTCAAACTTCTCAAAATCAACAGCCCACTTAACTGCAGTGATTGCACCCCTGTGCACCACCTCGAGGGTTGCTACGAAACTTTTGTACTCTTTTAAAAGTGAACCTTCAATTATTTTGAATCTCACTAACTTGTTCTTCTCATCTATAGCTTCAACTATCACTTTGGCCTCACATTTTTCCCCATCTGCAATAATGCAAAAGCAAACACATTTCAAACATGATATAAATTAAAGATGTTATATACACTCTAAATTCACAAATATTAAAGTTTGTTATTCGTCACCGCCATTCCTTATAATTACTGATCGAACAAGAAATAAGTAAAGAAGAAATAATTTTTTTTTATTAGAATACAAACTTACAAGTGGCAAAAGTAAAAACATAGGTAGAAACTAGTCAAGTGGAGGTCGATATGTAAAGAATCCGTGGTAATCCACAATGTCCAATAAATAGTCATTGGTAGTGTATGTAAGCTCGAATATATGTCAATTGTTGGTGTCAAAGATTTGAGATTGTATGGGACATATACGTATAAAGTTACTCTGTATAAGTCTAGTTGTTGAACTCGGGTTTGGTGTTTCTTTTTTCAGTTAAAGACCTAAAAGTTAGTACTTTTGTTATATGAGGATATAATAATACGAGTATATATACTACTCTGTATGTAATTATTACTTTTCAACATCTATTCCGTAATTATTGATGAACAAAGTTTAGCAAATATATGTTAAAAAAAATACTACGTATTTATAAAGAGGGGAGTTATAGTTAAATAATTGAGGGGAGTTATAGTTAAATAATTGTGAAGCATAAAGTTTGCAATTATATATTACCAACGGAGTAATTTCAGAAAATGACAGAGTTAGGCTTGCCAAATTCTCCTTCATGCACGTCGCAGCTATGAATTTTATGAGGAGTGATGTTGGAGATATGATGAGGTTTGTTACCAAATAATTCATGAAACACATCTCCTGATGACTTGATATCAACTTCAACTTCCATCTTCCCTAACACTCCCATATTTGATGATCGAATATGTGAGAAAAAAAAAAAAAAGGAAATAAACACAAACAGATTTTGAGTTGTAGAGAGAAATAGAGGATTGTTGTATGTTATTACCCTGTATTGGCTATATTGCCTATATAAAGAAGATTATATTGGTGACCCATTGAAGCTTATAAAATTATGTATTATTTTCTAATTTGTCTTCAATAATAGACGAATTTCTTATTAATTTGTTATACAACTCTAAACCTACCAAGATTTACAAGATCCATAAACAAATATATAAATTTGATTGGGATTGTGACTTGTAATTGTAAATCATAAAACCATGACGTCTAGACCCAATTAAGGATGAAAATATATGTTTCACATACAAGTTTCTTTGTTTTTTAAAAAAGTAAAAGTTGAAACTATGTTATTATTGATTTTTGATAAAATAATAGAGTAGTCACTACTATATACTTACCTCTTTTATTATTCGGGACCAAAATTGGATTTTGAACTATTGATATGACAACTAAATTCGGAGAAAGAAACTTTGTTTTTTCGTTACACTTTAATTCATTGGTTGTATGTTGTTGCACAAGATCAATAAAAAATGCTTAATTATAGACTCATATCCACGCTAGTAGCCTAGTATACATTACTGTTAGTACTGTACTGTAATGGCTGAATTATGCTAATGATGTCAAATCAACGTACAGCTATCTGCAAAGCCCAACGCATTTAATCACTAATCAAAGAAATTTTTTTTCCTCTTTTATTTTATAACACCTAATATCGTTGAAAAATTCCGTAATATGATTCATGTGGTTGGCTTCATGTAAATAATATAGTACTATTCATGCAAATCTTGCTGAAGGAGGCTTAATCAATGAATCAATACGTCTTGACGTCTTCAATGCATTGTTAACCATAAATGACTAACATGACCCACTTACTAAATATAGATAATATTATTCACTGAATCAAGTCATCAATACGTCTTCAAATCGTGACTTTCGATGAGGATCTGGATAATTGATTTAAAAAAGTTATAGGAATTCAAGAATTTATATTACTCCTACTCCAAATTATTGATAGCAAGGCCAATTGATGGCATATTTAGGTCAAAGTTTTATCACTTGAGCATGAACTTTTTTAGTCACTAGAGTAGCTAACGTAATTGCGCTTGCGAGTCATAATTAGTCATATCTTGAGAGTTCTTTCTGTTATTGATAGCATTAATAAGGATAAAATGTAAACATACATTTTTAGGGATATGAATGTCTGTACATTATTCTTAAGAGTCAAAAAGAAAACAATTAACATTATTGAGGATAAATAAGTAAATAGATATTTTAGAGGGTCTAATTGTCCAAACACTATTCATAAGAGTCATTTCAAACTTTTTAAAAGGTAGGGATATATGGTTATATCAATTAATCTAATACATACATACATACATATAAATAAAGATGACATTTTTCAAGAGTTTTTAGAGCACCACATAAAAAAGTATTATTCCGACCAATGAAAAAAGAGATTTAAATTTCATTTTAGAATAAAAAAATTCAATCGCCACATCAACATAATTAACAAATGAGATTTGAGAATTAATTTCAAGTGCTAGCTTAGGTAAAAAACTACGAACAGTGGTTTAGAATTAAAATTATTTAAAAAAAATATATATTTTCACATTAAACTCTTTATCATAATATCTGACGAATGAGATAATATAACTAAAATTTATTTATTTTTAATAAATGTCATTTTCTAATAACTAATATCAACGAATAAATTCGCATTATAATCACATAAAATTAATAAAAAACTATCCTATTCTAATTAGCAATAGTAATTTTATCAAAATATAATATGGTCTAACTAAGAATAATATCTTTTCATGAAATTTATGAATAAAAAAAACTGTGTATCACACGGGCTTTTATCTAGTGTATATATTCAACCAAGCTTGCTTATTGGTGGAGTTGGTGCAAAACCCACTTGTGATTTTGAAGTCACAAATTTAAGTCTCACCAACTACATTTGCTTGGAAGTACGTAAGAGCTCTCTGCTCTCAAACATTAACTTGCTTATTTGGGTTTACTTAGTCTATAAAAGTCTAAGAAATGCTGATTCAATAAAGTCATTCATCCTATCAACCAACCAAAAAAAAAAAAAAAAAAAAAAATGGGGGAAAAAAGAAATATTGAAAAAAATTTCAATGTGAATCAACTCGTTTTTAATGATTCAAGGTTTTTTCTTGGAACGGTACATTTGTGACAGTCACAGAGTAATAAAGACGTCATTACTATATTAAATTAATTTTTGCAAAATGTCACCAAATCTCCCATCACTTCACCAATCTCTTCTCTTCTTTGGAGTCTCCGAAAAATTGATTTTCCTGTCAATAGTTCACCAACAGTATTTCCTCCTCATATTTATTTCTTCTAATAAAACCTCCTAATTTCTCTGTCAATGGGCATAAATTACTCCCAAATTATCATCTTTCACATTTTTCCCAGCTAAAGATCTCTCCTTTTCAATCTCTATTTCTCACTCCTCTTTTAAGAACAACAAATGGCGGCTTCTTATGCTTTTCTTTCACCTTCTGTACCTTCTTCAACTCTCAACAACAGAATTTCTCCATCTTTAAGCTTAAATGGATCTGGGTTTTGTTCCTATTTGGGTATCAGCAAAAGGGTTTTTTGTTCTTCCATTGAAGGTGCTGAGAAACATGCTGCTGCTGGTGTTTCTTCCACTGAATCAAGGGCTTCTAGGTATTCTTCATCTTTCATTGGTTTTTATATTTCTTTATTGATCATTATATTATGTGTGATCAATTTGATTTGCTAATTCATGCAATGTTCATATTAATTATACAATGTGATGGGGTTTTCTAATTAAACATTTAATCTTAAGATCCGAATTTAGTACTGTACGAGACATGCACTGGAATCTGCTTCTAAATTTGAGGAGATAGTGAATTATGTGACATTTGATCGATCTTATGAAGTACATAGGAATGATATGATGATTGTTATGTTCTTCAAAAAAGAAAATAAAAAAAATGATGATTGTTATGTGTGTTTGATGGATGATCAATGAGTATACGGCTCTGAATGGGTAGCTAAAAGATAATGTAAACAATAATTGTTTTGAATGTAAAATTGTCAATTGGATAGTGGTTCTGCACCAAAAAAAATTATTGACCTTGAGCGATTAATATAACCTGAATGAGGTTATGGGTTGTGATTCCTAATGCCTATCGGTTCTGGCCTTTAGGATGAAATTTCACTTGGGCTTTCTAGGATGTGTAGTGGAAATCATATCAAGCTCAATTTGTAAGGAACCAATGTTGAATTTTCACTTGGTCAAGACTAGTGTTGAGCCCCTTGCTTATGTCTTCTTATTTAGAAGACAAAGTTATTGTGTGGGACGTTCTTTTCTTTCAGCTATAGTACAAGATTAACAATGTGATATGTTTAAAACACTTATAGCTTGTTTTTATATAGTATTTTTCAGTTGCGGAATGGAATCAATCAACCATTTCCATTACCTAATGTTTGGTATGAGAGGTGTGGTAACAAACTCTATGTTATAAAGCTAACCGTTACCACCCTATTGCTACCTTTCCCAACTATGTGGTGACAAAAATGTCTCTCTCTTCAATCCCCAATTTACTACTCCATACAAGGGATTCATTTCTGTATGTATACCAAACAACAAATAAAAATAACTGTTAACATAACCCTTTCTCCTTTTTTGGTTCCAACTTATTTCTTATCCAAATTTCATTCCAAACTTGCACTTATATTCCTAAATATTGATCCCACTTTTCCACCCTATTAAAAACCTAAGGTTGTCATTTGGATAAATTGGTTTCCTTGCAATTCTTGCTATTAATGTGTGTTTGAGGTATCTATATATATTCAGTTGATTTATTGAAAATAGTTGATGAAGTGGCTAGCGGCGCTAGCCACTATCAGCTTTAGGTAGCATTAGGGTTATGCATTGAGAGTATAGGCACATTGCTTTTGAGATTGACATTAAGGGCCTTCTACTGGAGTCAATAAAATGACCTGTCTGTTCCTTTGGCTTCATCATCCCTCTTACGAAGCTTTGAAACATCTGACTATATTTACCATTGGATATTAAATTTGCATAATTGACTAAGGTTTGGGTTGTTGGGTGTGGGATATGTCAATAGAATAGTGTTTGTGTAGTGGGATTGCAATTTGCTGTTAATACTTCCAACTGCTTCAACATTCCATGAACTTATGTGAGTTGTAATTAGAATATTGTAGTTTTGGTAAGATCATTCTGGGGCAACATAATTTAGTCATTAGATAGTTGAGTATGAAACCAAATATGGGGTTAATGCCAAGTTGGAGCAATGGAGGCAAAGGTTGGAATCTAGTGGGTTTAAGCTAAGTCGGAGTAAGACTGAATATTTGGTATGCCGCTTTGGTACTCAGAGGGGGACAAACAATGATGTGGTCAGTTTGGATGGAAGGACTTAACCATGAGTGAATGTTTTAAATATCTTGGGTCGATTATCCAGAAAAATGATGACATTGATCAAGACGTGGTCCACAGGATTAAGTCGGGGTGGCTTAAATGGAGAGCGGCTACGGGAGTATTATGTGACCAAAGCATTCCCTTACAGTTGAAGGGAAAATTCTAAGGGACTGTCATACGACCAGTGTTGCTCTATGGTACAGAATGTTGCGTTTCTAAGAAGGAGCACATTAAAAAGATGAAGGTTATGAAAATGCGCATGTTAAGATGGATGTGTGGGAACATTCCAAGAGATAGAACCCGAGGTTATTCGCAAGAAAGTAGGTGTGACAGACTACAGGCATTGCAGACAAAATGAGGGAAAATCGCCTGTGTTGGTTTGGGCATGTAAGACGGAGATCCGAGGGTGCACCGGTACGGAGAGGGGAAGAGTGGGACCGTGGAGGGGTTAAATGAGGGAGAGGGAGACCGAAAATGACTTGGTTGGAAGGAGTTAGGAAGGATATGAAGTATATGGATTTGCATGAGGATGAGACATTGGATCGTAAGGGATGGAGGAGGAAGATTTTTGTCGATGACTACATGGAATAATCAAATTTGGTTCATGTAGCCAACCCCATTTAATGGGATTAAGATTTTGATTGATTGATTGATAGTTGAGTATGAAGCTGGTCTTTGCTTTCTTTAATGTCCTATGAGCTTTAGGACGGGTCACACTTCTTCTGGGTTTCTATGTGGTAGTCTGTAAGTCAGTGCTCATCGTCTCATCCTAACTTAAGATTTCTTTTCCTTAATTTTTATTCCTTGGGGGTTGTTTAAGTTAAACTTGTTAAGTGTTTGCCTTCTGTTGTCCCCCATGTAAGTATCGCTATAAGCTTTGCCTATCTAGATGTCATGATGGTTCTTCTACACATTTTTTCCTTCCAGTATGTGGATCTTTGGCTTCCCAATATTTCCATTTCATTACCCTTTTTCTTTTGAAAAAAAATCTACACTGGTTATCTCACGAGCTCTTATTGAATTTGCTGATTTTGATGGTTCTTAATGCAGGCTGATAAATAGGGGTTGTAAGCTTGTGGGTTGTGGTTCTGCTGTACCCAAGCTGCAGATCTCTAATGATGACCTTTCTAAAATTGTCGAAACTTCGGATGAATGGATATCTACTCGAACTGGAATTCGTAATCGACATGTCCTTTCAGGTCAGTGTCTATTCACTTGTACATTATAAGGAACTTTGGAAAGGGTTGTGTTACTGTCTATTGTTGATTCCTGTATATTCGAAAACTCATAGTGACCTTCATAAGTCTGCTATCTGTTGCTGTCATGGCTTTGTCTTTTGGGTCAGACTTGCTATTATGTATGTCTAACTAAACAGTGCTAGGTCAGCAAAACCCTTGATCTGATTGTAAACTGAATTTCAGTAGGTTTATTTACTTCTTTCAAAGTTGTACATGTTATAAATCAAACCAAACCAACTGAGAGAGATATGGATTCTGGTTGTCTGTCTACGAGTTATTCTTTGAATTAGTTTATGTCCCAGTCCGATTTTTAGGTTTTGTTGCTCTATTACAGGTGAGGATAGTTTGGTGGGCTTGGCCACCGAAGCAGCAAGGAATGCTCTTCAGATGGCCAATGTTGAGCCTGATGATATTGATCTTGTCTTGATGTGCACCTCTACACCCGAGGACCTCTTTGGCAGTGCTCCTCAGGTAACTTTTTCTTGATGTCAACTACTCTTTAATTTATGTATTTCAGCTTTTAGGATTCCTTACCCACCCCCATCCCCCACGAAGAAACCATCTACATCGACTACAATACATATGTGTGTGTTCTGCAAATGTAAAAAATTTCAAACAGAGCATGATAATTTCTATATATGTCTCATGCTGCAAGTTGACTTTGTAAAATGTTTAACCAATGGGTTTTATGCGATCCAGGTGCTTCAGCTGTTAGTTTTGTAAATTTCTAGAAACAGCTTCTTAGAGTCACAGCTGGTCATGAACTTGGGTGTCATAGTGTCAGTGTGTGCATGTCTTTCTTTCTTCTTCTTCTTCTTTTTTTTTTTTTTTTTTTTTTTTTTTTTTTTTTTTTTTGTTTGTTTGTTTTTTGGTTCGAAAACATTTTGGATAAAAATTAGTTATTGTGCCCAGGAGCAGATTTTCTATGTATTAGTGTATTGAAACTTTTTTCTTTTGCCGAAAAGGCATGAGAAAGCTGAGTTTAGATATAGAAAGCTTAGGATATAAACCAATATTACTTTACTTACATTCAACTTAAATGAGGTCACCCCCATCAATCAAATATAATTTTGCCTAATGTTTGCTGCTTGTGTAAATTCCTAACATTCAACTTAGTGGAACTGTTGAATTCCTTTGTGGCTCGATTTCACATAATATATGAATATGGAAAGCTAAGGATATAAACAGATGTTTACCAACAATTCAACTTAGATTAGATCAATCGAATATAATTGTGCCTTATGCTTGTTTATTGTATAATTTTTCAATTGAAACTGCTGAATTCCTTTGTGGCCCAATGCTCATGATGACATGAACATATCTTAATGATTTTTGTAGATTCAATACTACTAAGCAGTCAAGGTTAAAAAATGGAAAGTAATAAGGTGAATGCTTGTAATAGGTAATGGTTGATGATGATAATAGTATTGGTATAACCGTATAAGCAGAAATTTTAATTCCTGAATGTAGATGCATATCTTGCACTTATAATTTTATATTGCCTTGTGAACCATTCAATTAATGTATCCTTAATCAGATACAGAGAGCATTGGGATGCACCCGAAGTCCTTTGTCTTATGATATTACTGCAGCTTGCAGTGGATTTCTGATGGGTTTGGTATCAGCTGCCTGTCACGTAAGGGGTATTGACTTTGTTATCTTTGCTCTCATAAAGTTTTTGTATTCAATCTCTAGAATAAAAAATTTAATTGTTTACTTTATAAATTGCAGGTGGTGGATTTCAGAATGTGTTAGTTATAGGTGCTGATGCTCTTTCTCGTTTTGTTGACTGGACTGATAGAGGGACCTGCATACTTTTTGGTGATGCTGCTGGTGCTGTAGTAGTGCAGGTGAGCTGCCAATATTCTTTTGGATCTTATTTGTTTGTTTTTATATGAATTAATTTTTTGTTTTGCGACTCCTAAGGCTCTCTCCTTAAGTATTTTCCTTTTGAAATTGTGAGGGTGCCTGTAGTATTGTTTACCTATACACTCTTTAAAAACAAAGATTCTAGGAAAAGGTGCAAGGGTTGATGAGAATTACCCTTTTTTACTGTAATATCAAATGATAACTACTAATTTCCTCGCCTGCTATCAGTTGGAATTTTTATTTTATTCAAGCAAACATGTGCACCTGTTTTTCTTATTTATAAAGAAAAATGGGCTTTAAATAACATTCTTCTATTGTTGAGTAAATTCAAGGCAATTTCTAAACATTAGATGAATATTTTGAGTTTTGTCGATAACATCTATATTGTGCTTTGTCATCTTTGTGCACCTAATCATGAAATACATACGTATAGAGATGCTGTAGCAAATTTGTAACATGTAAATTAGCCATGTTTCCCTTGAATTACGTTATCATATACCAGCTATCTGAACATTCTCTTTGAGGTACATCTCTTGTATATTCTCTTTGTGATCAAATTTTGTCTGAAAGAGGAGAGAATACAAGCATATAAGATAGGGATATTGATGACTCTCTGTAGACTTGACTCTTGAGTGGCATTTATTTCTTACACCTCAAGGAGTTCTGTACATACTCAAATTTATCTGGTATTTTTATTGGACCAGCTAGGCCTGTAACAGTGAAGAAGACGGCATGTTTGCTTTTGATCTGCACAGTGACGGCGATGGTGCAAGGTATGCATTTGAGTTTCAATGTTCCATCGGACTAGATGTCTTTAAGCTATGTACACTTGGACATCTCCAGATCCTGCCAGCAGGATCATTACTGAGTTATACTTGGACTAGATGTGAAATTGCTGCAAGTCATTTTCTCAGGCATTTTTTGTACATGCAGGCATTTAAATTTATCCCTGGGACATGATAAAATCGATGCAGCAATAGGTAGCAACGGTGCTGTGACAGGTTTTCCCCCAAGGCGCCAATCTTATTCATGTATCAATATGAATGGAAAAGAGGTCTTTCGCTTTGCTGTTAAATGTGTGCCCCAGTCAATTGAGGCTGCACTTCAGAAGGCTGGTCTAAATGGTTCCAATATTGATTGGTTACTATTGCATCAGGTATTGTGCACAGTTTATATCCGTGAATGTATTTTCTGAAATAACCTATCATGTATTTTAACGTATGAAATTGGAAGAATATTCAATTCTCTTTTACCAGTCTTAATTTGCAAGTAAAACTATGGTGCTTTATTTGCCCATACATTGAAGCCCTAAAATTGGAAGTGCAGGCAAACCAGAGGATCATTGATGCTGTTGCAACACGTTTGAAGGTTCCTCCAGAGCAAGTTTTGTCTAATTTGGCAAATTATGGTAACACCAGTGCTGCATCAATCCCCTTGGCATTGGATGAAGCCGTTCGCAGTGGAAAAGTTCAGCCGGGACATATCATTGCTGCATCCGGATTTGGTGCTGGTCTTACTTGGGGTTCGTCCATTATTAGATGGGGTTAGAGAACAAAGACTTTGCGAAATCATCTTAATGCTAAAGATGAAGGGGTTTGGGGGAAGACCAGAGAAATGTTGTTCGTCACTTTGAGTTCATACTTGAAGAATTAGTTCCCTCTGGTTGTTATAGATGACTGAGGAGCTGCAGCTTCTATGAATTCAAAAAGCTCCATCAAAGAGGCCCCCTTCATGTGTTCATCACCTGAAAAAGCTCGATTTATTTCTTATTTCTACATTAGATGTATTTATTTTCACTTAGAAAAATAAAAGTTCCTGAGCTGTTATTCACATTTTTCTTTTTTCACTCAGTCAGCGTTTAGCAGAGCTAGGATTTTTTGTCAGTAGAGTGATTTAAACAATAGCTTCTCTAGGCTTGTTTTCCGTATTTGTTAAACTTGTATGTTGAACGATTGTTAAGTACTTCATCTTCATTAAACAAGCCATTGCCATTACTGATTTTCCTAAGTTGCAGAGTACATTAAAAATGTTTCTTTGAAAAGGATAAATAGGTCTGAGTTTGAATATATTTTAGGGGAAACTAAAATTTTCAATATTTCTTTCCTGTTGTACTAACAAAATTCCTATAAAAATAAAAGAGGAATTTTTTGAATATAAAACATAAAACGCATAAAAAATGTTGGTTATGCTAAAGCAATGTTATTTGTAAAATCTAAAATTCACACGAGTATTGCAATACAACGCTAAAATTACAGCAAAAGAAAGTGTGAGATTACTCTACCATTTATTAGCAAAAAGAATGCATAAATATCTACACGCAGTATACAAAGGTGACTAATAGTTCCTCATATACTAATATACTGTGTTTATATACCCTTTAAAAGAATGCAAAAACAAATATAAATACACAATTGGTGCCTGAAATTAGGGGGAAAAGGAAAAGAAGGGGGGGGGGGGTGCAAACTGTTGCAGCAGCCAGCAGCTTAAACATCCTTCAGTCTATCCTTGATTCTCTGCAAGGTGCCTTCAATTGCAATATCAAAGGCATCCTTCTTAGCCCTTAGCCCCAAAGAACTCCCATGCTTCCTATACATAACCTTAGGAATCAACTCCATCACCTTCTCCCTCATTCTCCTCACTTCTGCTCGAGGGATCCCCATCAGCACATCAACCACCTTCAATCCTTTAAATACCACATCCTCCTTCGGTATTGTCACCGAGAACTCCTCATACTCAGCAGGCGGAAGATGCCATTGGAATTGATTCTTGGCCGATTGATCTTCGAAGAAAACAGGTATGCACCCTGCAAGTATCCCATCGAAAGTTGATCTCCTTGACGGAGTCTCCCCTGGAGGTTGCAAGCAGAAGCTAGCCTGCAGCATTGGCTTCATGTACCTAATCAGAGGATTTAAGCATCACTATTAATGAGCATATCTTCGATAAGCACTCAAAATTGCAGGACAGCTGAAGGAGGTTGTGCCCCTCTTAAACAAATAGGCTTTTATGGGTTTCATAGGAGGTGCAAGTCAGCAAGTGCATCTAACATACCTAAAATGGTGAAATGCCAGTCTCAACTCTCAACCACTCGGAAAAAAGGAAACTATGCTTGTGCACCTAGGGAAATAATGAGGTATTTTCAACAATCAATTTTATAGTGAGCTCAAATTTTCAAGATATACTTGTGTGAGTTGTATCCTCTCCAAGTATTGTACTCTTTAACATGGTAACAACGTCTACAATGTAGCATCATCTTATTTAATGCAAAGATATGTGTATGGTACAGAGTACAGAAGCTCGAGTTTGGGAAGCTCAATCGACTTATGAGTTATGACAGCTCAAATGCAAGCTCCAACTAAGCCTACAATTTTTCAGGTTCAGATATACCAATCCTCACTTTTTAATGCAGGAATCACAACTCAGTTATTCTCCTTCATTTGTATATAAGTATTTAGCATCGAGTTATTTGAGCAAAGCTTAGACCGGGATTAGCTCTCACTACTGTCCCGAGCCAAGCACGAATAATTCGCCTAATTGCCAGCACCAAAATGCTAGGGCTTATTATCACCCCATGGTACTTCAGCACAAAGAATTACATGACAGCTTGTTCACACATAATGTATTTCTTAGTGTATCTAACACAGATTACTAGATAGATTGTTTCCATTCTCATTCCAAGGTTAATATTATCACAAAAACATAAACCTAGTACCTAAACTAGGAAACTAACAATCTTAAATCACACAATTAAGCTTAAATTTATGAGAAAATGATGAGAATAAATACCTAATAGGATCATGCTCGCAAATTCCATTAGAACAATCAACAATCTCACACAACTTCTGGAACCTTCTACCATCAAACACCGACGAATTCTGAACCGCCCCACATTCCTCCCGAATACTCCTCCTCACATTCGGGTTCCCCGTCGGCGACTTCCCACCACCGCCGGCGAAAAACATGAGCGTACTCCGGCGAGATTTCCGAACCCGCAAAATCCAAGAATCCAAAAACCCTAAACTCGAAGGATGAAACGACGTCGGATGAGGAATCGCTTGTTCCTGCCATGGCCAAGCTCTAGACTCCAAGGTCAAAACCGTCAAATTAAAAAACTCCGGCAACATCAAAAACGACGTCCCCCATAACCTCTCAATTTCTTCACCATTTTCATCACCGGATTTTTCCGGCAAAGGCTGGGAGAAATCCCATGAAGTGCGAGCCATAATAAGGAAATGATCATGACCGTTGTTTCGACCCCAGATATCTGGATCGTTGGATTGAAGATAGGAGAACAAATCAAGGCCGTGAAGATGACTGACATTGTAATCAGGACCGTACAAAAAATGCAGAGAATCAAGAGAAGAGTAGTAAGGGAGAAAAATGGCGTCGGATTGAAGAGGATTAGGAGAGAGACAAGGGTATTCGAGAAGACGACGATGGAAGAAGAGTTCGAGGAGATGAGTGTCGGTTCGATACCATGAATGAGAGCGGTTATGGGTTTTGGGGCCGAGGCCGTGATTGGCTAAATGAGGGCAGAAATCGGGGTATAATGGGAAGAAAGATGAGCAGTTAGTGAGAAGGTCAAGGTTGAATCTTGTTGGGAGTTTTCTGATGTGGATCCGACGGCCTGTGCAGTCGGAATCGGAGGATGCGGTGGTTTTGAGCAGAGAGAATGTGAGGAAGATGAGGATGACGGTGGTTGTTGCGGCGGATGCCATGGCTGTTGTTGTTATTAATCTGGGGAGTGGAATGGTGTTTTAGAGTGAAGGGTTGTACTGTACTATCTACGTTTTGTTTTTTTGCTTTTTGTATTGAGAACAAAAAATAGCGTTAATTTAGATTGGGTTGGATTTGTAATTTTGACTAGATTATGGTTTGGGAGGAACTATAGATTATAATAGACTCCTTTGTTTTTTAAGGGATGAATTCATGAATTTGCTTTAATTTGATTTGATGGTAAATGATGCTAAGATTACGTTGATATAACTTTTTAAAATGATAATTGTAAGTGATTTTATGCCTGTAAAAAAAAAAAATGTCATTTTGTGATGGTTTTTCCCCAAATTTATGATTAAGCCTATTATTGAATTACAAATCACGAGTATTAATTTAAAAATAATTATTGTGTTGCATTTATATAGGTTTCAGTAAGCTTATTTAATGATTAAGTGAAAGTGAGGGATAACTCAAGTGGTTAAAGGTTGAGAGCTCCTCTCCCAGTTTCAGATGATTCTGGGATCGATTCTCATCACCCGCCCTTACGGCTCCTTAAACACCCAAAAAAAAAAAAAAAATTATTTAGTGGTCATACAATTTGGGCATAACACAAATCAAATGTGTGTTTGTTTAACCTAGCAAATTAACTAACTTGTCAAATCAATGAAAATTTGAACTTACCTTTGTGAACAAATAATTTATAATTGATTTTATAGAAATTAACAAATAAGACCCTAACTTTATATCTAAAACACGCTAATTTTAATTTTTAAAACCCCTAATCTTCCAAATATTAGAAAGAGGATAGAGGTGGTCACGACTATTCATGAGTCGTGACAATAATTTATGATTTGTACTCTGTAGCATTAGTAGTGTGGCTCAAGATTGCATACCAATTTGACTAAACAATAGATGATTATTAGCCGACGATAAAAGTCATAACGAGAATAATGATGAGAGGTCAGAATGTGTGGCTAGAAAGCGAAAATACATAGTCATCGTCTGTTAGCCCTCCGTCAAAAGAATAAAAAAAAATAAAAAAATCCAAGGGATTAATTAGGCTGATTTATACATTGTTTGATTTAATCTAGTTTTTGAATAAGGCACGAAACAATTCCCTCCAATAAGCTAAGCCTACTTTACCTATTAAAAGCGCCCTAATCAACGGTCAATTAATATCTCTCCTTCCCTCCAACCTCTGCAACTAATCATACTCCAATCATACGCCCTGTTTTTGTCTCTTTCTCTTCGAAGAAAATCAAGAAAACTCCATTAACAACCATGATGAAAGCTTTAATCAATCGATTAAAGAGCTGTCGCCCTTTCAAAGAATTCTACGCAGATTGGATTAACACCCTAAAATCCAGCCTTCTTCCTCTTCTCTCTCGTTCTCTCTCCTCCCCTTCTCCAGACCCTCTTCTTCTTGCTACCCAGGTCGAACTGCTTCACTCCCATTTCAATTCTTACTTCGCTGCCCTCGATCTCGCTTCAAACGACGATGTTTCTCAGCTCCTCTTCCCAGATTGGCGAAACCCCCTCGAAAAACCCTTTCTTTGGTTTGGCGATTTTCACCCCTATATCTTCATTAATCTCCTTCGTTCTTTTCTTGAAGAAGATGATGATGATAGTGATGAGACTGATAATGGTTTTCTGGTTAAGCCTTGGAATGTCTGGAAAAATGTTGATGTTTCTTTGGGGCATTTTGTCGAACAGGTGGAGTGCGGTTTGAGATTGATGGTTCCTTCTGTCGTGGCGCGTTCTAGAGATACTCAGGCTGATTTGGTTGAGAAATTGGGTGTTGGGTGGAGAAAAAATGGTGAGAATTTTGAGGTTGATGAGGTGGTCGGAGAATTGGTTGACAAGATGACTTGTGTTTTCTTGGATGCTAATAGGTTAAGAAGAAGTGTTCTTGCTGATATTATGGGGACTTTGAATGTTTATCAAGCTGCTTCTTTTCTTGAAGGTCTTGCCAAATTCTATGCTGGGTTTTGGGATCCTACGTTACTTGCCAACTTTAAGAATCCTGTGGATTGATTGGTTCAAGGTTTATTTTCATGGAATTCTGGTTTCTTATGTCACAAATTTCTTAATTTTTGATGAATTGGATGATATGGAAGGGACTGCCTTGGAAATTTTACTTCTTTTGGTGAGTTGTTCTCATCATTTTAGTCTTTATTATCTTGATTTTATTTGCTTACATTAATGTGAAAGTTATGCTGAGTTATTTTTTAAAACTTTTCTTTTGATTGCAGGGAATTATCAGGCTGATAATCGTTGGTTAATTATGTAGAGGAAGACTGTTTTTTTCTTATAATGTTCTGCTTGTGAATTCTCATCTGGAAAGAAAACATTCCACGACTATGCGTCGTAAGTTCTGTTGTAAAAACTTTGCTCTTCATAGCAATTATGATCCATAAATCAATTTCAAATTTTCCATAAACTAGTTCTTGTTGCTTGCAATGTTCTTTTTTCATCTTTAATTGCTTTTATTTTGGCTATCTCTAGGGAAACAGGCTCTTGTCACCAAGGGAATATTTGTCTCAAATGGATTGAATACTTAATAGGTCCCTAATGAACATAGATGTTACTGAATTACCTATGTAAGAAAATAAGTTCTCTATAAAGCTATGCAAGTTTTCTGTTCCTCCCTGTGTGATTGCTACTCTTCTAAGATTGAAAGGGATGTATAACTCTAAGGTAGAGATATTGCAATGTTGGATAGCTATGCCACACAATGAGTATTTTATTGCTTATTTCGGAGGAACCAAAAACACATATTTGGAGGTAGAGTTCCGTTGACATGGTAATGGAAATAAGATTTCCTAGCAAAATTGCATACAAATCCATTACCATTCCCACTATATAGGACCACTTACCGTTAGGCTGCTGCGTAAGGTTGAAGGGTGGGAGGAGGGGGATTCAAGTTCACATCTTATTATATTCATATTTTTTTTTTCTTTTCATTTGCCTCATTGGATATTTACCCTTGTGAGTAAGATGATATTGTGTGGAACTTCATCCATGGGATCACAATCAACAAATAGATGACTAGATGGGAAATTCTTCTAAGATTGTCTTGGGGCTAAGAGGGTGGGATGGATGCTCAGGTAGAGACAGGCGGTCTAGAGATGTTCTGATTCTCGTCATGTAATTGGCTGAAGCAGCCTGGTTCATTTCCGTTTACAAGGGTATGTTCACACTTGCTGTAGCAGCTGTGCGGAGCAGTGGCTGATAATAAGCTTAAGGGGAAAAGAAAAGGTTCTTGTAAACTGCTACCAACTAACATTACTTTTTGAAGTTCATAAATTGAAATAAGGGTCATTATGAACAGCAAAGCTTCTGCGACTATTTTTAAGGACGATGTAGTATTATTGCATGACTCCATATGAATTATAGGCTGATTTTTAGAGAGATTTTGAAATCAAAAACCATGAAATTTTATATAGTTGCTCATTTTATGATTCTCATAGATTCATAGAATTTGGCATTCATTGGACTGAGATTCATGTTTCTTCTCTTCCTGAATTCAGAGAGTAATTTATGTACTCCTTAGTGCTCTCTGGGATTTGTGGGTTCACTTTATGCTGAAATAAAGCATAGACTAATTGTTATCATTTATGTACATGCATGAGCAGCAAATTGTTCCTCTTGAAGTATTAAGAAATGAACCACTGTACAGAAATTTGGTTTTGTGACAGTTAATTTTGACAGCCCTTTGCCAGTTTCCGGTGTTATTGTGCTTCTCTTCTGGTAAATGTTAAGAGTTTTGTAAGCATTCTACGTATGATAAAAAAAAAAATAAAAAAAAAATAAAAAAGGTAAAAAAAAAAAAAACAAGGTAAGACTTTTTAGCAAAGACTTGACTGCAAGAACTTGATGAGATTATGATTTTTATGAATGATCTGTGCAAAACAAATCTTCAGTTCTTTTAGGGGTGCAGTGGGTATTTCAATTCAAATAATTTCAGGCTTCAAATTTTAGTTTCTGTTATGTTAAATCCAACAGATCTCAACAACATTTTTGAGTCTTTTGAGGCTCATAGTTGACACTTATAATCATCAAATCAGCTCAAATCAATGAGGCAATTATGCGGACTAAATTCTATAGAAGAAAGAGATTTCGTTTTTTATGTCGTGTTTATTGCTTCTCTCAAGTGTTTTTTTGGGACTTTATCTGCTCTTTGAGCTGATGATACGAGCTTCTCATATCTCCTACCTGTTACATTCTGATGTCTTTTCAACTATGTATCTCAGAATTTGTTCCTTATGGGCCTCTGTTTTTTAACACCTTGTCCAAAGTCCAAATCGTATCCTTTCTAGTGTGACTGCATATCCACCAACTTATCAGCATCTGCGTGCTACATGTAACCTTCAAACATGGTGTCATTGTGTATCATTGGTCTATAAATGAAGTCCTACTTTTGATCAGTGAAGAAGCATATTTATGGTGTTTTAGCTCTCGCCTTTTGAAATGATATGCTATCTTTTACTATAGAGAGGTTTGATGTAAATGACTGATCCCAGAAAATTTTCATTTATGGCTTTTCCCGCTCTCTATCTTTCTTTTGCTTCATGGCCGGTTACTTTGTCATTCTGTGCCCTGAGCCTTTTTAATGTGCTGCATGATTGGACTAGAGACCTATTTATAATGCTATGTTTATATTCCAAAAGATAGTTTGTCCTAGTTGATTATATATGCTTAATTAGGTCATGGTAAATGCTTGAAAATGCTAATTGTATTTCAAGATCTTTGCCTAATTTGGTCATGCTGGAATCATGTGTGGTTTAGATTGCTTGAACATGACTATCAATCCAGTCTCTGAGCTTCTGATGATGGGATCTAAAGCTAATTTTATGAAGTAGCAACTACGACTGTAGCTGAGGCAGGACTTGCAACATTGATATGAAATACTGAAAATTGTGTGAGTTCACTATAATTAGATGGTGTCCTCAGTATGTTCAATCAATTGCTGAGTGAAGATATTGATGAATTGATGAAAATCCCAAGGAAGAAGGAGTTTTCATTAAGGATAAACCAAAGTCAGCGTCAATTATTTTTGTGCAAACTATAAAAAAGATTGAAGAAATGATTTCTGTACAATAATCTTTTGTTTCCATGATTTAGCAGTTCTTTTTCAATTTTAATTTTTCTTTTTTTTTCCCCAAAACTCTTGTCATATGTTGCTATATTCAGTGAAGTGAAATATTTTTGGTAAATTTCAGCTTTGAATTGATTCTCATTATTTGCTGTGCTGTTATTCAATGCCTTAAAGTTTTGTCTGCTTTGAAGTAGTCGGTCTGTTCATTGTATTTCCAAGCAATGCTCTGCCAAAGCTAACATCTCTGCCTGGGCTAAGTGGCGCAAAATACATATGAACCTCAGTACCTCACCCTGCCCTAGGTGTGACCGTTTGAGCCTTATTGAGGCACTGGGTATGATAAGGATATCTGTGCAGTAATTTTATGCTGTAATGTCTAAAATATGAATTTTGGATGACATAAGCCCTAAGATCATTAAGAGAACATATGGCATCTTATTATCCTGTATTATATGTTATCTTAGTTAGGATTCATAAGTCATAACATAATCGCAGACATAATTAGCTGTTTTGAAGATGAAGCAGTAAATTAGACTGATCTTATTATAATATAATCGGATGTTCATAAGCTTTAGTAACAGGACGTTGCAATTTTCTTTTTTCAATCTAATTTACTACGTAGTATATGATTATGTTGAGTCAAGTGAGTGAAGGAGTTGCACCATACTTTTACCTGAGGCTTGAGCTGGCAAGCTGCATTTGAACTCGAATCAGTTCTACTTGAAGGTTGTATCAGTACAAGATCTTTTTTAAGACAGTATAATTTTCAACATTATATGAATTGTTTACCATAAAGCAACATGTGCATGAGTTCTTCAAAATGTATAGGTGTATTCTTTGTGCAGATCATATCATTGAAATGCATGGCTGAAACCTAGAGCTACCCATTCGTGTGTACTTTCTTCTTAATCATGTTTCATTAGTCATTTAAAAACTTGTTTTTCCTCTAAGATGTGTCAGATTAGACCTTCCCCAGGTGTTTGAGAGGCATTGTCCCCCACCTCCTCCGGTGTTTCCTTACAATGTAGGGGCACAGTATATGCTTTTTGCCGATCTGTATCTGGGTTATGGTTGAATCTCACTGTTAATAAATTAGGGTAATTAATCACGTGAGCACATAAAGATAAGCTAATAATGCCATCTGAACAATGTAGTTGCTTGTTCCTGATATTGTTGTACTTGTACGAGATTAAGAAAGTACAAGTGGAGCAATTTGTAGTTAATAGATAACATTATCTGAAATCTACAAGTTGTACTGTTCATATTCCTTAATCTGCAAGTTGTACTGTTCATATTCCCTGATATTTCGTGGTTTCTGAACAGGGTCCTCTTTTCATAGGTGGCTTGTATAGAAATAAGGAACACTCACTTACAGCTACACATCGGGTTATGTTTATGCATATTGGCTCTCATATTTTTGTGTTTATAACTGTTATTATAATATTTCTGGAATAAGAGGTCAATTCCAAACCTAGTTGCTTTTTTGTATTTCAGTCAAAGCAATTTTGTCTCCTTGGATTTTTCATTGCATATCAACGTTGTCATTACCAAACATGGAAATTTGTACTTGTTGTCTTACCTTAATCAAATTACACTTTCTTCGAGAAAATTATGACTGCATGCCGCATCTCATGCATGCATTGATTTTATGTCTGTAATTGTTCGATCCAGTCTAAATAGATTCTCTTTTTCTGTGGAATTTCATTGTTTATTGTAAAGATAATCACTGTATGACTGTACTTAACTTGTACCTGATTTAAAATTCTAAATAGAGAAACTTTCAAGTACAACCCATCTGTAATATAGAATGGACTTTACCTCCCAAGAAAAGGTTGAAAGACTAAAATTTATAATGTGTACTGCATGAAATTTATACGGCGTATGTTTACATGTTTCTCATACACTTTGCACAAGTGGCAATAGAAAGCCACCATTGAACAATCATGTCTGCTACTTATATGAGTTATGTCCATTGTTTATATACTTCATTAATGTATTTACTACTTCCTCCGTCCCATATTATGATTCCTGTTTTCCTAATTTGGAGAACCAAAATATTGTTCTTATTTCTATTTTTGGGTAGTAATTAAAGACTATTATATCCTCATTTTTTTAACTTTACTTCCTAAATTACCCTTGAATTTTACACATGACTTGTACTTTTTTCTACTTTCTCTCTCTAATTTTTGTTTATAATTGTACTTTTCATCTTTTTTTATGTACTTCATTAACTTTACCCTATCTAACTTTTGTCAATAATTGTACTTTTCACCTTTTTTTTATTTACTTCATCCACTTCCTCCTCTCATTTTTTAAATACCGTGAAAAATACAAACATGAACTATAATATGGGACGGAGGGAGTATTTACTCGTGAGTGCCCTCGCACATGATTTGAGCTTTGATTTAGGGTTATATGAACAGCATTATCTTAAGATAGTGCTGCCAGTTACTGCTTATTGGATGTATAATCTGTGAGGGATTGTCTCTATTGAACATCTTTCACCCCTTCGTCACTCATTTGGCTAAACTCATTTCCTAAATTTCTGTAATTCTGATGAAACCATGGGAACTGTATCTCATTCGTTTAAAAATGAACTACTTGTAGTGCTATAATTTTTAGGATAAGATTTCCCAATATCAGTACTAATTCCGCTTATCATTGTCATTTGTCAATAATCATCTCATCTCAGATGGGCCGTTAGCTCTTCTATGTGGCTTGTAGATTCAGATCATTGAACATACTACAGCAACCTGAAGCCTCATATCTGAGGTGCTCAACTTTTATCCTAATAATGCTGATATTAGGTTTACTCTGTTCAGTTGAGTATTTTATGTGCAACTTGTGAATTAAGGGTTGTTTGTGTCTCTTGCAATGTTTTCCCTTGGATCTATAGTGCCTCTTAATTGAATGATATGCCCATAGCGTAGTTAGTAATTGGTACAGTCTTTATCCCCAGCTATTATATAATATCTTCTGCTTCTTGAGACTGCCTGCTTAATTGCACCGAGTTTCATGCTGTTTGTTTCAGATTAAGGTTTAGTTTAAACGCTAGGTATTTAGATCTGCATTACAGAAGCCCCATGATTTGCAGAGCTTTCCACATTGTCTATGAGAATCCTTAGACTTGCCTTTAACATCGATACAATAATGTGCAAGTACAGCTCATAGAACATGTGTTTTCTTAAGCTATTTTGAAGTAATCTCATCATTAAGAGTGATAATAGAAACACTGTGAGACGATGCCTTCTCGATGTGATAATTTTCAAGTGGAGCTTTTCTATGTTATCCAGTTCCTGCTGTCTCCTCATTAACCTGAAGAGAAGCTCCTATGTGACACATGTTATCTTCTTTAATTTTTCTGTTTGAGTGTGACCTTTGAAACAACAAATGGGTGCCCTAAATAGGGTCAAAACACACCCTGAATGATGTGAATCGAGTCCCCTTCCTTATAACTATTTTTATTGCTTTATTTAGGTACTCTCTTGGTTTTGCCTTACTCTTAAAGTAGGGGTTTTACAAGTGAGTTTTTAATAATGTTTTTATTATTTTCTTAGTAGTAGTTATGGGGCCTTGGGCTTCCAAAGTTGTGTTAATTAATTAGTGGGCTCTCTTGGTTCATTAATTAATTATTAGGGCTTTTTATTTAGTTTGCTTGCAGGGCAAGTAGGATAGATTTATTTTTCCTATATATACTAGTTGTATGTCAATTATTTTAACAAGATGTTTTATGAATTATAATTTGAGATTATTGAGCTTTTGCTTGAAGAGAACTTTGTTAAGGTTCAAACTAGTTGTTAACTAGGGTTTTGGGATCGTTACTCCTAAAATCAAACTTAGAAGTCGTTGCCTTCTAAGACTATCTTTCAAATTTCCACCCTTAAAATCACTCAAATCCTTCCATCAAATATAAACCGTCAAAATACACATCAAATTGGTATCAGAGCCAGGTTTTGTAAGTTCTCCCGACTTACACGATTGATAAGAAGAAAAAAAAAATCCTTATTCGTACTCAAGCGGATGAATTGCAGAATTCGTTGGTATCTGTGCAAAAGGTACTCGTAACTTCTACATAGTAGTTTACTTGTTGGTATGTGCTCTTAATTTGCTTGGTGAGTTAGTGGAATTGCTGCCAAATTACAAAGTATTGGTTTAGTTAGAAGAATAAGTTGTGCCGTCATTATTGTTGTGTTGCAGTTATCGTAGTCGGTGGTATTAATTGAATTTTAAAGCATACTAATTTAAGGTGATTGTATTTTGGTAATTAGTTGCTTTGTTTGCTTTATCAAAATATTTTTATTGCCTTTAGTACGACTTGCTGCAAGATTATTATTTTTGGAGATAATTGGCCACGAATAGGACTGTGATTATTTTGACATCATGAGTACTTTAACAAAGGAAGATCTGGATACTATGCTTGTTGATATGATGAGAAATTTTAATGCGAGTCTTGAACGAATGAATGAGAAAATTGAGAAGAGTACACAAGAAATTGCTCAAACCAATCAAAGGGTTGAAACTTTGTCTACTCAAGTGATTGGGGAAGGAAGAATAATCAACAACGAACAACCTAGGGGAATCATGAGAAATTTTCCAATTGACAATGATCGAGATTTGAAGTTGTTGGAACTTCCGGAATTTACAGGTGATGGGGATGCCGAAGACTTTTTAGATTGGGTTC